GGGCCCTGAGAGGTGCTGCCTGCTTTCCCTGCACCTCACCCCAGAACACCATCTCCACCCACTCGCCCCACCCTCTGCATTCTTCTCCTCTCGCCTGGGTTTTTCTTTACCCTCCCCACTGGTGCTGGAGTTTGCGTTCCAAACTCTTAAAATACTTCTCAGAATGTTCTCTTCCTGACACCTTCCCCCACCCATTCTTTGTCCTTAGTCAATAATCATCTCTGTCAAGCAGTGGGGACCCCATCTTAGTACTTCTGAAACAGAGGAACTTCTAAGTTTATGTTACCACTTTTTCACACATTCTCTAGCTGGGGCTGCACCTTCAATTAGGTAGTTGAGTCCTTTCCTACCTCATTTCCTATTATCCCTATTTAAAAATAATTTTTTAAGCCTTCTCCTTTGATCTATTTGGTCTGCTTATATCCCCCAAACATGTCTTGTAGCTGTAGGTCTCTGCTCAGGCTTATCCATCTGCTTTGAAGGCTGGTTTCCCCTTTTCCCTACCTGCCATCCTTAGGATTTGTCAACCCCAAAACAGAGGCTAAAACTTCTTAAGCACATACTGTGCCGGCAAAGTTAAGCACCTTCTGTGCATCTTCTCACTCCCCACACACCCTGAGTGTCACTTTTTAAAAAACAAATGTAGATTTACAGAAAAGTGGTGAAAATAGTACAGAGAGCTCTGTGCACCCCTCACACTGCTCCCCCTGATATTAACATCTCACACAACCATACTGCAATTCTTTTCCTCCCTTGTGTCTTTTTTCTGGTCAGTGAGCCCACATTTCATTTAGTTGTGTGTCCCCTTGTACTCCAATCTGTAACATTTCCTTAGTCTTTCATCGATGATTCCTGGTGTTGAGTTTCTCATTAGTGGTGATTCTATGACACATCATAGAAATGATGTGTCCTTCTCAGCACATCATACCAGGGGCTGCATGATGTTGATTTATCTTATTATAAATTGGTGATGTTAAGCTTGGTCACTTGATTAAGGTGGTATCAGTCAGGTTTCTCCATAGTAGAGTTATTCCTCTCTTCGTAATTGGCAAGTACCTTGGGGGAGATTATTTTGAGACTATACAGATAACCTGCTCCTCCTTCAACTTCTGCCCATGGATGAGTTCAGACATATCTGTGGATCTTGCCTGTGGTAGTTATGACTAGGATGCAGACCCAAAGGTGACTGTATTTCATGAGGGCCCCTATTATCCCCATGAGGACACCGTGGCTCAGACCTGCTATATAACTTGCCCAAGGCCCTAATGTTAATTGGCAAGGAGTCAGAACTCAGACCCCAGAGCACTGCTTCTGACACTGAGCAATCTGTTCTACTCATCATGGGGTGAACCATGTGTTGTCATGTGATGCCTCTTATCATCACTTGATCTTCCATGTGTGTCTCTCCCCCCAAACCACACTCTCAGTTTCTGGAAGGCAGGAATTGTCTCTCTAGTCTTATCCCCTAGACTGTGCAGGGCAGGGTCTGCTGTGGTAAGTACTTGTGACTGGTCCTGGGAGGACCAAAGAGGTTGTGTGTGTCAAGAAGAGAAGGTGGAGCCAAAAGAAATGTCCACTTTCTCCCCTTTTTTCCTGTCCCCAGGTATATGGCTGCAGACAGACTCAAGTCTGGAAACCTGGGGGAAATGGTGGTTAAGTGTCTCCCTAGGAGGCAGGGGACTAGGAGAGCAGACACCAGCAGGGTAGATACGCCAGAGGCCAACTGGTGGGAGGAGGTAGCAAGCTAGATACAACAGGCAGAGGGAGGAGGAACCATCTTAGGTTTTACAGGTGAAACAGTCAAGGCCACATTTAGAGCCTCATTGACAATAATCAGTGCAGAGAGGGGCTTACTTATTAAAGGGATTCAGGGAAGAAGTTTATAGAACTGATTGATAGGAAGTGCAGTCTGGAAGCTCAAGTGCTTCCCCTGAATACTAGTGCCTCTAAATTCACATTTATACAACAAATATTTATTGAACACCTTCCATGTGGCAGCACCTTGCTGGCTTCTAGGTATAAAACTGAGCAAAAATAGGGGTTCCCTTGGTCGGAAGTGGTTGGGATTGTCTGATTTGACTTCCCTGGGCTATGGGTGGGGTGATTAAACTATAGTGAGAAGCTAAAGAATAAACACACTGCATGACATCCTGTCCTGAATAGGGGTTTGATGACTTGCTCAAAGCCACACAGAACAGCATCTTGGGGCTTGGGATGCTGATTTCAAAGCTCTCCTATGCTAGCATGTTCTTGCTCATTTCTGCTTACTTTCTGATGCTGGGGGCAGAAGATGGAGGGGCCTGTGAGCCCTATGGCAGCAAAGAAGACCAAGGGGACTTGAATGTGGTGTGGGTGTTTATTACTATGTGCAAGGATGCAGGACCAGGCAAGGTCTGCGAGCAGGTAGCAGTGTTACAGGGCAGAGAGAGGGGCACCCCAGACTCAACCTATGGGAGGCCTGAGGGCTGAGTGGAGGTGGCTACTCATGAGAAAGCCACAGACCGGAAACAAAGAAACAGTCTGAAGGGGCGGGTTTCAGGTCTCAACTCCAGGGTTCCCTCTACAGTAACAGTCAACCCTCTGGCCTGGCTGCCAGGACTGAATGTCGAGGACCCAGACTCCAGATGTCCACCGTGAAAGGAAAGTGGAAGTGAACAGCGGTGTTGAGTACAGTGACAATCACTAGACTGGCAGTGGTGTAGGGCTCTCATCTTAACTTGGCCAAAGTGTCTAGACAAATCTCTTCACTGGCCAGACTTCAATCCACTCACTAGAAGCAAAATGAGGGTTGGTTCAGAGGTTTTCAGTCTGAATCACCCAAAGGACTTGTAACATGGCCCTTGCTTGGCTAACAAGTGACTCTGGACCATCCTCAATCCTAGGCAGTGCTTTGACCGACAGTGGACATGGTCATCTTTAGGGTCTCTTGCAGCATTTCCCCCAAAAAGTCAAGTTCTTGGGCCAAGTTGAGGAAAGGCTACATTTTCCCATTTTCCAAACCTATTAGTGTGAGTGGGTCCATAGAGAGAGGCTTGGTTGCCCCCAACTGGCAAGGCAGGAAGAGCAGAAAAGCTGCCTGCAGGTGAGCTGGGGGAAGCTGGTGCAGCAAAACCTCCAGATGAGGGCAAACCGTGCCCTCTGTTCAAGTCTCTGAGGTCAGGTTTTCCTCCATCTCCCCTTCTGTGGCCTAACCCAACCACATCACATCCCAACCAGGTCAAACTCATTTGACAGATTGGTATGCCAGAAAGCAGAGTTCAGGGCTGAGCCCAGGAAGCACTTTGTGTTTTCCCAATTTCCAGGAGATAATGATGAAGACATTGAACAGAGTCCAAGGAAGCCTGGACCAAGTGGAAATCACACAGTCACCAATTTGTAGCTCTAAGTCTCAGTTTGCCTCATGTGTATGGGCCATCAAAAGCTCCATCTTTCAGGGCTTCCTTCCTCCATGATGGTGTCCCCAGCCCCAGTCATATGTCCCTGTTTTTTCCCCATGCAACACTGTTAGCCATTTTAGTGCCCACCTCCTGCACTAGGTGGAAGTCGGAGTCATCCCATTTTGTTCTCCAGGGGTCCTGGCACGTAGTAGGTGTTCATTGAATTGAAAATAGAATTGAAGGAAGCAAGGGTGGGTCTTCCAGTTCAAAAGGTGTAGAAATTATAGTGCAGTTTGTTACTAATTTAGATAAATTATCAATGTGATGCTATAGATTGCCAGTTTATTAACATAAACATTTTGCAAATAATACGCTACAACATCTCCCAGTAGTAACAAACTTTTTACAAGTTAGTACTAGGGGATAGCTAAAGGAATCAAAAAGATGAACCACGCATAGTAGGAATGGTGAGTAATGGTACTTAGCATCTTTTTTTGGTAAGCTTCAAACTGAGTGGTATTCTATCTTAAAAAGCAAAAAAGAGGACTTCCCTGGTGGTGCAAGGGGTTGGGATGCAACCTGTGGGACTGTCCGCAGCCACTGCAGTGCAGGTTCAATCCCAGGCCAGAGAGGTGACCCACATAGCGCAGCAGACCTCTCCTGTCTCGCCCACTGCTCCCCTCAGCAGAGTGTTTCAGTCCGTCTGTCTGTTCTGTTCCCCACTCTGTCTCTGGTGAATCCTCTCACCCCCCACACCTTTGGCCTGTGCCCCAGTTCTTGTATGCATAAATAAATAAATCTTTAAAAAAATAAATAAAAGCAAAAAAGAATAAAACTCTTATTTTGGTAAGTAGGGAAGGAGTTTCTCCCAGAAAGACACACAGAGTTACATGAACTGCATACACAGCTAGTAATTATGATGGAAACATAATGTAAGAAGAACAAAAGGATTGCTGTTGACTCTATGGACTCATTTACCTCACAAAAGACACAATAAGGAGCCTAACGTGAGAGTGGTAGGGGAGGCTTGTTCACATCTGAGTCTGAGGCGGCCCCTGCTGCTGAGGGAGGTTGGAAACACAAGTTCTGGAGGTATTGGTGGTGCATGGAGCCAACTGGGCTGAGAAGGGTACATCAGTACCCCAAACTAAAAAGACTTTACCTCAGAGAAAGTACTACTTGTGAAAATAATGACTGAAAAGAGTCAGGCTCTGAACAACTCTGAGGAAAGGAAATGAAAACTGCAAACCACACTACCAGGTGGGACGCTAGGCTGCCAGCAGGCTTCCAGGAGAGGGGAATGAAGGTGACGTCTTCAATTTTAAAAAGGGGGTTGAAGAGTTTATGAATAAGAGTAACCAAGGGCCCTGAGAGAGTTACAACAAAAATGTGGGAACATTTACAACAAAAATGTGGGAACATTCTGAACAGGGTGGCAGAAGAAAGCTAGAAGCTCAGCAGCTAAGACAAAGCCAGGCAGTGACGCTCCGTGGGTATTTTTCCCAGAGCTCCCTGTGACCATTCACCTCAACTATGAAAGTGGAGCAAAGGGAGGAAGGACAACCAGCCTGCTTCTCCGAGCTTCCATCTTGTCACCTACACGTGTCCAACAATCATTTGTTCCTGTGGGTTTGCTGTGAGGAATAAAATCACAGCAGAGTTAGTAGCTGCTTTTCCTGAGACCAGAGCAAACAGCACCTTGGCCTGGCTAGCGAATTTGTAACTGTCTGCATTCTAGTGTGGAAAGCAGAGGTGCTGTTCAGACTCTGGTAACTGATTAGGACATGCGCCCCTTCCCCCACAATGTTTAATATTTTTTGGTTTTATGATTTGTTCTCATTGCTTTGCTTATTTAAGGAAAACTATTCATCAGGACTTGAGGAAAAGCTAGTATTCAACGAAGTTTATAGCAAGTCAACATTTTTTATAACATTGTAATGATTTTTACGCTGACTGGGAACATCTTCCTTTCCCCTTTGAATAAGAGTTTATGTGAGTGCTGGGTTGCAAAGCTGCCCGCAGCCTCTGCAGCGCTGGTTCGATCCCTGGCCGCTGGGCGAGGGTCCCACATGGCGCGTAGACCTCTCCTGCCGCCGCTGCTCCCCTCAGCAGTGTACTTCATCATTCTGCCTGCTCTGCTCTCCCTTCTGGCTCTGGTGAATTCATTCTCTCACCCTCCCGCGCTTCTGACTGTACCCAGTGCTTGTATAAATAAATAAATCTTTAAAAAAAAAAAAAAAGAGTTTATGCAGAACACATGAAAATTCAGTTACGAGTCACAGTGTGTTTTGTAAGTTAGTGTGCAAGGCCGTTTTGGCATTGTTTGTGGTGATGAAAAGTGTTAGCTCTGGTTGGATTCTTTACAGAGGTCCTTGTTGTGACAGGCTGCTCAATGAACCAAATGAGAATGTTGATACTCCACACTGTGACTTGGTCAAGTAACCTGATCGGGAAGGCGTTACATGAACGCTGTGTGTCTGACCCGAGGCCAGCCTGCAGTAGATGGCCTCCTAGTTCTGAGTGGCTTGGCCTTGAACCTTACTGACAATAAGGAAATTCCAAGAAATAGTCCCTTAAGCCCAAACCAACTCTGATTTCAGTGACGTACAAAGAGGGGCCACTGAAGGGTCAGGTTAAGGCCCTGTCCCTCCAGGGCTGCAGCAGATGCCCTGAAGAGCAAGAGTGCCCTGCCCACCCCCCCTACTCCACTCCCCACAGTCAGTGTGGAAGGCACCCACCCTCTACACACAGATATGCTGCCTATTATTTACAAAAATAACCACTGACTCCCGATAATTCTGTGGCATTCTTCCCACTGTTAACATCTGATTGAAATCTCTCCCACGAGGGAAGGAATTCCCCAACTATCTTACAATTTTCAATCAGAAATTCTACAAGCAGGGAAACCACATGACCCCAAAATTACACTCCCTAGATATTCATCCTAGAGAAGTGAAGTTGTATGAAGTTGAACACAAATGTTCACAGCAACCCAATTCATAATAGATTGTGAATCTTCTTCAAAGATAGGCTACATTTACTTCAAAACCACAAGTTAGTTTCTCCTCAAGCTATGTCCAGGATTCCATCTTAACAGACTGTCTGAAGATACCTCTTGAGAGGGCCTCGATGGGCTGGCTGAAATGTTCACCAGATGGACCCTGGCCCCAGCTGTTTTCTAATTGAACCCTTTGCACTCCGCTGTCCCCTCTCAGGGGACATCGGAATTCTAGCATATCCCTCGGATGTCCCCTCTCAGGGGACATTGCAATTATTAGTGATTACAGGGAATTGAGGTTATTTCAACGCAACTTTTTGAGACATGCATGTTTCCCTGAAGTTTTATCTTGAAATGACACAAGAAATTAAATCAAAATATCGTAAAATGGTTCGGAGTGCAAAGGGTGAAGCAACATTGGGTTATATGATTCAGGGGTACAGGAGCATATCCTTCAGGTGTGTTACCTGAACAAAACCACCACCAAGGCACCCATACTCCTCTACCATAGTCCCCAGGGCCCCTCCCCACTTCCTTCTCCGCAGTCCCCTTCTCTCTCTGGTACCCTCAGTTCTACAGTCAGATTTCTAGGTTTTGTTATTGGCTTGGTTTTATTTGACCCTTTGTTGTTTCTCTACAGGCATACTGACCAGAAGTCCAATTAACCTTGGATTTCCTATTCTAAACATCTCTGGCCTTAGTATCAAAATCCAAGGCTCCATCATGCAGATCATCAGTGCCAGGCTGCTGAGGGTTACATGCTCAGCTCAGCAGCATCGCAACCATTTTTTCTTGGTCTTCAGTGTATTCCAATAGTAGACTATATCATATCCCATTTTCGGTGAGGAAACCAGTTCCCACAGAGAAGTACATGGCCAAGGCAGCACTGTTGGTGGTTCTCCAGCTGGGACTGGACCTCATGATTTGCCCCTGCAGTGACTGATGTGCCCCCAAACAGGTGGGATTTCTTACTGGGAATCATCTCTCAGCTGCACCCAAGGGGAGCATGAGGGCTTCATCCCAGGAGGGCATACACTGCCCATGTAGCTCTGTGAACCTGGCTAGGCTGTATCTCCTGGCCTGCGGTTTGGGCTCTACCCAGCCCACTCACACCACAGCCTCATCCATCAGCTGGCCTTGATGACCTCCTGGGGTGCACAGACCAAAAAGGTGGGGTTTAAGAAGGCTTGATTTCTAATGTTGGCATTTTACAAGTACTGGAGACTGATTCTGCAAAATAGCCCTCTCTACAGTAAGTTTTGTCAGTGTTCCCATTTAACAGTTAAGAAGATGGAGATAAAAAAATAAAATAAAATAAAAGATGGAGACATAGGCAGTTCTTGTCCTTTAAGACTGCCTGCCTGTATTTATACAGGCATCTCCCTTTCCTCTTATTTCTTTTCTCAATAAACTTGCAGTGAGGAAAAAGAAGAGGAAGAGGAAGAGGAAGAAGAGGAGGAAGAAGAAGGAAGAAGAAAGAAGAAGGAAGAAGAAGAAAGAAGAAAGAAGAAGGAAGAAGGAAGAAGAGAGAAGAAGAAAGAAGAAGAAAGAAGAAAGTGCCATAAAGAGGTGAAGAAGCTTCCCCATCATCTCACAAACAGTAAGCAGCAAAGCCAAATTTACATCCAGGTCTTTTTCTGACAGCAGATCTGGGCTCTAATCTCTGTCTACACTCAGGTTAGAGAAATAAACCTTACCATGCTGCTGCAAAATAAAGGCCTTAGCTCTGCCGAAATCAAACAGCCATTTCTAAGTTCAGTAGCAAAGCAGTGACAGACAGGCTTAGGGGTTGCTGGTGACAACCCCTCGGGTCAGGCCTCAAGTGTGCGAGGAGCCAATTAGATTAAACTCAATTGCAGGCCTGCCTCAGAGCCTAGAAACAAAAGATCACTGCAGCTTCCTATGCTAAGAAATACCCACTGGGCTAGCTCAGCCCTCTGCATCCAAGCAGCCCCACCCCATCTGCTTTCAGGAGAAAGCTCTTCCCCTAGGGACTATAGGGAGTTCCAAAGCAGACAAACTTTGGCTAAGAATGTGATGTGCCCGGTAAGAAACGAATTGAAATCCAATAGCTCACCGCCACCAGCAAGTCCTCCGAGCTTTCATTGCACAAAGAAACTGATGCCTCTGACTCTTGCCAGCAAACAGCCTCCTTCCTGCAGGACGGAGGCTTCCTGCCGGCGCAGGTGAGAAGGGACCCTTCCCTCGGACCCCTCCCTCTACGCCCTCGAGTCTACGCACTCGCCAAAGGCAGTTCTCTGCTTTTTCTAGGATCGTGCTAGGCTGAGAAGTAAAAAGACACAAATGCCTGTGTGGCTAAGACGGTGACACATCAAAACACACCAAGCGAAAGCTTGCTGGCGGAAAAGTCAGGCGCCGCGGGGTCCACTTTCTCGGCGGCCGCAGCCCGGCAGCCCTTTGCGCGGAGGAGGCTGACACCTGCTGGCGGCGCGCGGAGATGCAGCCTGGCTGCCGCCGGGGCCTCGCCGCAGAGGAGTCAGGCTCTGAGGACGGGGCTGAACTCGGCGGACCAGCCGCCCCAAGAACCCCCAGAAGGCTGTGAGTCTGGGAAAAGGCAGGGACGGAGAAGACCTGGGCATGGAGGCCTAGAGTTCTAGACCTTCCCTGCCCTATCACCAGTCGTCACAGGGCTGGCTACCTCAGCCCTTTCCAGGTCTCAAATGCTGTCAACGCCCTCTACGTTCTAGAAGATGAACTTCTAGAAGGCAAGAATTCAGTAGTGCAAATAGTTCCAGTACCCCTCCAGGGCCTACCTGTGCTTCCAAAAGGTTTGTCTCCTCAGAGGTTTTTCCTCAGGCCCGACTGACTAAAAGTCATGAGCCAGGGAAGCAGCGTTCTGTTAACAGGGGGTTACTCTGTGGTTGGATATTGACGCCCAAAGATTCCAGGCCCTAATCCCGGAAACCCGTGAGCATTACCTTGCATGGCAAAAGGGACTTTGGTGAGGGTGATTAAGTTAAGGGTGTTGAGACAGGGAGATCACCTGGATTATTCAGGTGGGTCTTAAATGTAATCACAGGAGTTAAAAGAGAGAGGGAGATTTTACTACAGAAGAGAAAGCAAGCCACATTCAGAACAAAGAGATTTAAGAGGCTGTGGTGCTCACTTTGAAGTGGGGTAAGGGGCTTTGGGGGCAAAGAATGCAAAGAATGAAGCTGTAAAAACTGGAAAAGGCAAAGAAATAGATTCTCCCCGGATGCTCTGCTAATATTTGATTTGGGTCCAGTGAAAATGAATTCAGACTTTTAATCTCCAGAATTATGAGGAAGAATATATTTTGTTTTAAGCCATGAAGTTTGTTGTACAGTAAGTCCTCAATAGGCTCTTGAAAGCTGATTTAAACAAAATGCATGACAGAATTAGGTCCTTGAATAATGTTGACTCACTCAAAATGGCCAGATTGTTTTTCTCATCAACATTATAAGAAAATGCTGTTGAACAAGGACCTGCTTAATTGATTGCAACAGCCATCAGAAACTAGTACACAACCTTCTATTCCCAAGCTCTTGAGCTAGGCACTTGGGATAAAGCAATTAGTGAACCGGGGGACCATCCACTACTGCCCCTCCCTCAACTCCATCCCCAAGGAAGTTTATATGTTTCCTTTTCAGGGAT